CTGAAAGGAAATGTGTGTTTGTATACAGGAATGGGTCTGCAGTGCAGCCTGCAAGAGATTCTGCCTGGCATGCAGGGGGTAAAAACTATGAAACATGAACATACCTATTTCTTAGTTTGGACACAGCCAATACATCAAACTAAGGTTCCCAGACAGGCTTCCCGTGTCCTCTGCTCCCCCCTTTCTCTCTTGTGCATCCAGCCACCAATAGGAATGATTTTGCCTTTGGTGAAAAATGAAAAACATGTTTCTTATGCCAATGTACTTCCGCAAGGAATGATTTCACTTGTGTACAATTAAACCAAAGTAACTAATGAAACTATTCTTCATTGGCTAATCCTGTCAGACTTAATATACTATATAAAGCACTTCTTATGATGGGTTAACACATCATTTCATCAAGCAATAAATGCTCTAGTGGAAAACATCCCAAATTAGTTACACTCACTGTGTTTCTCAAAAGAGGAAAATGAATAAGGTAAATTTTAATTCAGCTATTAATTACATAACACATGAAAGGGGTCACCCTGGTTAATATTGCACTCCACAAATCAAAGGAAATACATGGATAATAACTTTTAATGCATATTACTGTCATTCTTCTTCACAAGTTTGTTTCATTTTAAGAAATGTTATTTTTCATTCTTTTTGTATAAGTATGGAGTTTAAAATCCCATCAAAATAATTTCAAGCCCTATGAGCCTTGATTCTCACAGTTCTGCAATGTTTGGATGATGAAACAAGGAATTACCAGCACTCAGATTTAAGTTGTGTTTCTTATAGCTTATTGACTATGGGCCAAAGTGGAATCATTACAATGCTGATTTCGTGTGCTAAGAATAAAATCATATTGCTGCAGAATAATGTAGTCAACGTACCTTATGTTACAGCAGGTGTGTTGGCCCAAAGATAGGAAGATGATCTGTATTTTAGTTCTATCTTTACACAGCTGCATAGTAGTATAAACAATGCAAGTTTTTGCCTGAGACATTCAGTGTACAGCTATTATTGAATGTGCTTTCTCTGGAACTTTATATTTTATTTAGTGTCAGGGTTTGTAGGTTGTGTTCACTCACTTTTTTAATACATGTGTCAATATAAATTCAAAGAATTGTACTTTAATGAAGGATTTAAATGATGTGGTGGACTCAAAGCTAAAGGAGTGGCAGGCTACATTGGTTGTGACAGCTACATACTGGTACTGCACATGGGACATACACATTTAAAATAGCAACCTATGGCTAATTACCTCCAAAAGCTGATATGTTAGTAACTACAATGATTAGTAGGGATTAAAGTGACAGATAAGTTCAGGATCATTTTGGAACAAGAACTAGGGATGCCAGTAATAAACAATATCCCCATGCCAATTGGGAATCCATATAATACATATAATATATGGTAGCCTTGTTCCACAGTTTGTAAAGTTATTTCTGAAGGAAAAAACCACAGGGGAAGATATTTATATTTGTGTGCTAAAATACAGGAGAATATTTTGGAATATTCTTATTACACAGATGTGTTAACAAACAAAAAGGAATGTTTATATAAGTATACCTGTTGATTCACACTGTAATTATGTCAATCATAGGTTGCACCACTGACACCTGCTTGGGACATTCTTGTCCAAGATAGACAGTTCATTTTCCAGTACTTTAGTTGTACTAACGCTACTCATTATGAGACCATGCTGATATGATCCAGATTAACAATAAAAAAAGACTACCAAAGTCAATTTGGTTTATAACTTAAGCTTTACCAGGTAATAAATTTTTCCTTGAAAGCAATTCATCATGTCTAAAATATTATTTGTGTTTACCCCCTTCTTTTAGCTGTGAAGCTGTATGAAGTTCTTCCTTTGAAAATCAGCTGGGAGCAATTGTCATCTTCCTTAATATCTTCTTTATGTGGTAGTTTCCTCATATAAAGCCCCACAGTTTGGCACTGGACGGTACTTTCCTGTACTGCTGCTTTGGGAAAGAACTCTAGCCTAAATTCCAGTAAATAGCTGAAGTGTGGTACAAAAAGCAGGGGAGCTGACAAGGTAGGTGTAACATTGCTTTGGTACCTCCCTTCTGAATGCCGTCGTGGATTATGCCTTTGCCAGGGTACAGCCATCAAAGAATTTTATTTGTTCTGATAATATTGGGAGTTATTCTGATCTTCTGATAAGATGGGAGTTACAGAGCAGAAAGGACAGTCACATCTGCTCAGTGCTATCTCTGCATGTTCTTACAGCAGAGAGAGTCCTCTGTCATCTCCCTCCTACACTCCGGTCCAGGAGGAATACAGTTTTCCAGCTTCAGTACTTTCCAGCCTCAGACTCAGAAGAGTCCCTCGTCTACCTCAGTGCCAGCTCAGTAGCCAGACCTTGGTTAAAGGTTTTTCTGAGAATGTGCTTTAGGTATCTTCTGAGTTTAGTAACTAAGAGAGGACTTATCAGTTATTGGTACATCCATGCTATTACGATGGAAGGAGGGGACAGAGGCGGTCAGAGGACATCTGCTATCTAATTTGTAGTCTTTTCCTGTCAGAGGCTCTACAGGAGGAAAGAACTCAGGAATGTTGGATGAGTAAATTGAAGAAGCAACTGTTTTCTAGTGTAATCAAAAGATCAGGAGCAGGTTTTCCTCTCTGCTACATTTCGATTTTCTCTAAGAAAAAAACTGGCCCAGGACTAAGTCTAAGTAAGCCAGGGCCCCTAAAATAGGTGTGTGAGTTTCCTACGTAGCCAGATCAGACTTCAAAGGCCAGCAAAGGCCATCCAGATAACTGGATGGAAGGTACTTATATAAGGAACAAAGATAACTTAGGAGGGCTTTTTTCAGCTGACATCTGAAATATAAATGCTGTTAAAGGATGTAAGACTAGATCCTTATTGGACTCTAACACTAATGACAATGTGAAAAAAAAAACCCCAAAACCAAAAACCAAAACCAGCCCGATTTCCCCTGGATTTCTGTGTTTACCTGGGGGCTTATCATTCGTTGTTTAATCCTATGCCTTTCGTCTTAAGAAAGCAGTGATCAACTAAATAAGATAAAATATAAATATGACTGTATATCAAAGTGTTGAAATGAAATAAAGAATGGTCAATTCAGAAAAGAAACATAGCAAGTGCTGAATCATCTTTCCTTGTATTATTCAGTTTTCTCTTTCATTTTCTACAACAGAAACTGAAATATGACTTCCTTTAATATTAGTAGTTCTGAGGCATCTCAGGAATGACATCTTAAGTCCTGTGCCATACTCTGGGAAACAGGTTGTTCTATTGCTCCACTTGGTTTGATTTTTCTAATGGCTTCATTATTGACAGTGACAACATACTTTAATTCCTCTATTTACAGCCTTTTTGTACAAACTGAAATATGTCATGGTTAAGAGCAGATGTTTTCATATATGCTAGATTCCTTAATTGGAAAAGGGTTTGATATAAGTCCAGACAGTATCAATATTCTTCATGTCACCACAAAGTGGTGGATGTTTTTCAAAAGATCATGCAGAAGATTGATGACATTTGTCCTAAGTTTTCGATACTAATAAACAATAAGAAAATAGTAAGACTGTAATGGAACTACAAAATAGTATGTGTTATCTTGCCAGACAAGGACTTGTGCTACAATTGCATTCAGCTGAGAAAACTAAAAAAAAAAATGTTCTTAAATGAAGAAATTGAATGCCACTTCTTTCAACTGCTTTTGTTGAATTGCAGTCCTGAATTGTGATGCAAAGTTATTGATAAAGAGGTTTAATTTCCTGGAGGCCAGCTTGTGTTCTGTTTGGGAAATATCTTGAAATTAGAACTGAAATTGGTGATGAGACATGCTCAAATAGAAATACTAACTTTTTTTTGGCCATAGGGTCCAGTCTGTTCAAAATTTCGTCAGAATTAAATAATTCAGTAAAAAAAAGGAAGTTATGTTTTGGGCTTGATTCAGTGGGCTAAACATAGGCAATTTGTACCATTTGAGATACATTAGGATATCTGAGTCAGCTATAGGACTGGCATATAATAGAAGATGTATGTAAGACCAGAGTTCTTCTGGACTATCAGCAAAGGACAAGTAGTATACCAGGATGCATTAGTAGAAGGAAAACAGTGCTACAGACACATTTGCTAGGCAAATGAATGAAAAGCCTTATTTTTGGTGCAAATAATTTAGAAAAATGAAAATGTAGAGACTGTCAAGACACCTGAGCTTCTGAAGAGGAAAAAAGTTTCAAAGAAAATGCAAATCTACCAGGCCAGTTGTTTCATCGTAGAAGTTTATCATGTTGATCAAGCATGACTTCCTGTTGATGAGGCTATGCTGACTACTCTTGATGCCTGTCTTGTCTTTCACGTGCCTGGAAATTGTTTCCAGGATTAGCTGCTCCATCACCTTCCCAGGGATCAAGGTGAGGCTGCCTGGCCTGTAGTTCCCTGCATCCCCCTTCTTGAAGATAAGAGTGACTTTTATTTTCCTCCAGTCTTCAGACACTTCTCCCAGTTGCCATGATTGATCAAAGATTATCAAGAGTGGCCTTGCAGTGACATCTGCCAGCTGCCTCAGCACTCACGGGTGCATCCCATCATGGTCCATGGATTTGTGTGTGTCCAGTTTGCTTAAATATTCCCTGACCTGATCCTCTTCCACCAAGGGTACATCCTCCTTAGTCCAGATTTTTTTCCCTGGTGAAAAAAACACAAACAAACAAACAAAAAAACCCAAACCAGCTGCAGTCGACAAGTTAGTTATCTACATACAAAATAAATTTAGAGTACTTGCAAAATTTAACATTTTTATGCTTGTTGCAGTCTTAATAATTAAGTTAAATAGCTTATGAATAATTAAAATAAGATTAAATTCAAGAGCATTCTTTCACTTATTTGTATAGCCTACTGTAGCAGGTAGGTAAGTAGCATAACATTCCATACTGCTGTAGAGTTTTGCCATAAAATTGAAAAATCCGTTAATGTGCATCATTACGATATTGGAATACAATCAAGGTGAAATGCATCATGCATAGAAAATGAGCTCAGGTGTTTGTCCTCCGTGTGCTCCACTTCCATTAGCACTGTCTGAGGAGCGCTGGAACCAGAATGTCACTTTCCCACACTGCACTTCAGTCATTACTGTTGAGATAACACTTTCATGGTAGAACGTATCTTGCTCAACCTGCACAGGGTGTTCAAAAAACACAGAGAAAGTATTGCTGGAGCCATTGGAGGTAAACTTTGTCAGATTTTGAGTGTGGACTACCCCTAAGTGCTTCAGTTCAATTTTGATGCTGTATTCAGCTTTGCCACAGCTTGACCCATACATTACCGGTCCTGCTATTAAATGACCATTTGTCTACAGCAAAATGAGAACTGTCATACAGCCCTCTGTACCTGCACTGATTACTGTCATATGCAGATGACTGAAATCGATGGCATTGCTGAGGTACAAGCCCATTTCTTTTTGTGAGCGGAAACTCTAGTTTAAGTTTATTTGCAGCCATGTACCACAGGAATATGTTGTGAGTTTCCTTAAGGGTAAGGCTACCTAGGTAATTCTGGCCTTGCAAGACTCCACGCCCTGAAATGTCCTCAGTACTGCCCTTTAGTTACCTGTGAAATTCCATCCCATCCCCCACCTTAACCATCTGTGTGATTTGATTCCTCATGGCTCTATCTGCAACTTTTGCCAACTTCTCGCTTTGTTATTTGTTATATTCAGCAATTACTTATGTCATGTCCAGTGGTTTCTCCTGATCTGTTCAGTTAACTTAACCTTAGGCCAGGGTCCTTTGTTTGTGCCCCTTAATGGAGGGATTCACGGGAAAGGACTCTGAGAAGAGCTGTATCAGAATATAACTTGTGTATGAATCCCGCATTGGCCACTGGTGGCTTAGATCAGTGATGGACAATTTTTTCCTCTGTGGACCTTTAACATCCAAGAAAACATTTCATAGATTACTAAACACTGTTTTCATGATTTAATGGAAAACACTGGGGAAATAAACAAACAAACAAAAAACCCCTCTAGAAATTGAATGGACTACTTAGAAGATCTTCTTGTTAGCATTTGCAGATAGAGATGAAATCACCATAAAATATACGATTGAAAAAGCCTGCTCTATATAGTTATAGGTGATTGCACAGGGTATATCAGGTAGGTCCATGTTGTGGATTTCATTCTGGCCAATATTTTTATTTACAGCTATAAAAGATACAGCATACATTCCTGTACACTTATAAAATCTGTGGATGTTAGGAAGCTGGGAGAACCTGGATGTCGAAGAATAAGATAACAACTCTGAGTGACTTAGGTTATTTGGAAAATATAGCAGTGAAGATGAATTCAGAGTTCCAGGTAAGAAATTAGAAGTGACACCGTGAGTGAGTACCTGTGCAGGTGAACACACTGCAGAGAGAAGTATTGAAATATAAACTAAGTGTAGGTTGCCAATGTACTGCTGTTGCAAAAGGTGAGTCAGAACATGTTAATAATGGAGACAGATGCAAACATATGGGAGATAGTTCCTGTTTTTTCAGCTTTCCTCAGTGTTGATGTGACTGGATCAAAGTACTCCATAAGGTTTTGCTACCACATTTAAAGAAAGTTCTAGATAAAGTAGAAATTTCTGAAGGAAGCAACAAGAAAAGGTCTGTCCATTCTCTACTAGGTCTAGATATTTCTGCTTCTCCTCAGACCTGGTAAAGAAATATAGTGCCCCAAAGTTTTTTTTTTTCCAGCTGTATCAGTCTAAAAAGAGATTACCTCACCATACAAACTTTACCTCTCTTATCTCTTTACCATCTTAATGAAAAGAGGATTATAATGAGAACACTGACAATGCTTCCATTCTTCTTATAGAAAACAGAGGGTAGTTGACTTAATCTGCGGAATTAAGTTAGGTTACATATTAGGATTAACTTTCTAACTGTGAGGGTAGAGAAGACTACGTGGCCCTGAAGACTCGCTGGCCCTTGTTCTCGTGGGGGACTTCAACTTCCCGAACATCTGCTGGAAATACAACATGGCAGAGAGGAAGCAGTCTAGGAAGTTCCTGGAGTGTGTGGAAGACAACTTCCTGACACAGCTGGTAAGTGAACCTACCAGGGGAGGTGCCTCGCTCGACCTCCTGTTTACAGAGAAGGACTGGTGGGAGATGTGGTGGTCGGAGGCCGTCTTGGGCTTAGCGACCATGAAATGATAGAATTCTCCATTCTTGGTGAAGTAAGGAGGGGGGGCAGCAAAACTGCAACCATGGACTTCCGGAGGGCGGACTTTGGCCTGTTCAGGATGCTGGTTGAGAGAGTCCCTTGGGAGACAGTCCTGAAGGGCAAAGGGGTCCAGGAAGGCTGGACGATCTTCAAGAAGGAAGTCTTAAAGGCGCAGGAGCAGGCTGGCCGCCCCTGTACGCTGCAAGAAGAACGGGTGGGGAAGACGACCGACCTGGCTGAACGGGGAGCTTTTGCTGGGACTCAGGAAAAAAAGGAGAGTTTACCGCTTGTGGAAGAAGGGGCAGGCGACTCAAGAAGAGTACAGGGATCTCGTTAGGCCGTGCAGAGAGGAAATGAGAAAGGCAAAAGCCCAGCTAGAAC